GTTTTAGAATTTTATATAAGTTAAATCAAAAAGTTTATATACATATAAAAATAAAAATTAAATTAAAACATTTATAGTGGCATTTCAACAAGGATGATTGCAAGCTGCTGGTGGTTCTTCTGTCTTATAATGGTGTCAAGTTATACAGCCAATCTAGCGGCATTTCTAACTGTAGAAACTGTAACATCGCCTTTTGATAATGTTGAAGAATTAGTAAGAAAAAAAACTATTAAATATGGCGCAAAAAGCGGGGGAGCCACGCTCAATTTTTTCGGAGTAAGTAATAACTTAATAAGTATAAAGATTATGCGTTTCGCGGGTTTCTTCCGTGTCTAGATCTATTCTTGGAAGGCCAACGTTTCGTGAACCTTGCAGTTCATTTCATCAGGGAGAGAAGCAGCCTGATACTGAGTTGTTCCTTCGGGTCGCCCCTTTTATATATTACGCTACTTGTGGAGTAGTGGAGGGAAAGAAGAGAATTGTGGGTGGGAATGGGGGAGGGGTGGGGGAAATCGGTCAGTTCTCATTATATATGTAACAATAAATTTTTCAAAACATTCAAAAAAAATTATTATTTTTATAATACGTATTATATAAAAATAATCTAAAAACGTAAGAAGCCTTAACTCAAGTAACTATTTTCTTCTTTTATCATCTGTGTTGTTCGTCTCATATTTTTTGTAAATTTATTAATGAGAGAAAAAATTCCAATAATAATTTTTACAACATATACAGCAGTAATTTGTTATAAATACAATAGTAATTAATCCTGCATGCGACACAATTAGTTAAATAATTAACATAATTAGTTAAACAGCTTTTAATAATATGTATGAGTGAAATAATATTAGCAAAGCAAATATACTTAGTTGTAACTTAATTTAATAATTTTTTATACAATTATTAGCATTATCAGCGTTTGTTGTATATTTAACAATTTTTCTCTTGTAGAATTGTAATTACAATTTTTTTCTATTAAATAACAGAAAACAGTTTTAAAGTAATAGTACTGCGACTAATTAAAGTCTACAAAATATTATTAATAATATTAGTATTTCTGAGAAAGAAATAATTTAAATTAATACATATAAATACATAGGATTAAAAAATAAGCATGATAAATGTGTAAGTCACACTCTATAATTTTTGAAAGATTTTTTGAAAGAATTTTATCCATTTCAAGGGAAACAATATCACATTATACGCAGAAATGTACAAATACATGATGGAAAATAAGAAAGAAGTACTAGTCGAGACAAATGAGGAAGGTTTAAAAAAAGTCCAAAGAACTGATGATTACGCTTTTCTTATGGAATCTGCTTCAATTGAGTATTTATTAAATGTTTAAATATATATTTTATATTTTTATTTATATATATGTACATATACGTTTTATTATTATACATATATGTATATTCTCTCTAGATATTTGATAGAAAGAAATTGTGATGTGACGCAAGTAGGAGGACTCTTAGACGAAAAGGGATATGGCATAGCAATGAAAAAGAGTAAGTTTTATCAAAATATCTCTGCATAGACTTATATATGTAATAATAAAGTAATAATAAAGTAATAATAAAGTCGAATATTTTATATTTTCACAATTTAAAAAATTGATTTTTTTTTCTTATCATACAATTAATATTTGATAAAATTCGATATTATTAAATGTGATAAAATCATCAAGATCGGAAAAAATTGTTTAAATGATCGAAAAAAATATTTAAATGTAATATACATTTGTAATATACATTTGTAATATACATTTGCAATAATACATATTGAATTACCAATATAATATATTTTAATAGCCAAATAATAAAGAAACAAAAGACACCTTCTACTTTGCTCTATTAGATATCACTTTCCTTTTCTTCTGCTATTTGAGAATACTTAAAAGTAAAAATCGTAAGGTGGATTTAAATACGATCAGGTATATAAGTAATACAGTTTGTGTTAAATATTTATTTATTATTTAGTAATGTATTCACTAAATAAATATCTAAAAGAGATGACTTACACAACTCTAAAAAATAATTACTAACATTCGAAAATTTCTTACCGATAACAAAGATATTATCTTGCAAAATTATAAACAATGACAATACTACGATCACACAATACTACGATAACAACAGTTACTCTTTCTTATAGTTAAAGGAATTACTTATAATATTATATTTTTCTAGAATATAAACAAATCAGGACTAAAGAAATCAAGGCTGGATCGATTATGCTAATTCAATAAAACATCATTAAGATACAAACATTTTGATCATTTTACCATAATCATCATCTTTTTTAGAATGTAAATATGGAGAGAGAAAATGCGATATCAATTTTATCATATAAAACATTGTTACAGACTCTCAATATCTACACAGCATAAATTCTGCTATTTTAATGTTATCGGAACGGGGCATTATTCAACAAATTAAGACAAAATGGTGGACCCAAAGAAAAGGTGGTGGCATATGTCAAGTGAGTATATAAATGTGATTTTTTTGTTATATATGTATAAAACGAGTACATCATATTCTTTTTTTTGTCATGTATCACTGTTTAGGAAAGCGCTGGAACCGGTTCAGCGGAACGACTAGGTCTTGGCAATGTGGGTGGCGTATTCTTGGTACTCACCGTAGGCGTTGCCTTATCCTGCGTATACACTATATTTGAATTACTTTGGGATGTTGCCCGAATATCCATTCGAGAAAATGTAAGCAGACTATTCTTATTTACAACACAATATATCACAATCCGCTTTCTATCAAAATGTACCGAATTTATTGAAACCAATATAATTTTAATACAAAGATAATGAAATAATCAAAATTAATTTGAAGAACTAACAAATAACTTTTCAAACAATACACTCCAATTTCTTTCCAATTTAACATAAATATAAACTACGAAAAATATTTTTTACCCTGTCTTTCCATTTTGATCCAATGATTTTATTATCCCTTCTATTTTCCTCTTATTTTTTCTATTTCTATCCTCATTTCATTTCTATCCTCTTATCATCTATAAATAAAATGATAATAGAGAAAAACAAAATTTAATAAATAAAAGTTTTTTGAATCACTGATTACAAATAAAAAACCAATTTGCAAAATTATTTGCTTAAATACAAAATACAAAAAAATATTTAAGCAAATTAGCAAACAAATTAAAAAAATTTGACGCTATGTTTAAAATCATGTATGCAAATAATTTTTAAACATATGTTGCAATACTTTATTTCAATCTTTTTGCTAATTTATTCACATTTTTTATTTAAATGAATAATTTTACAAATTTGATTCCATATCATAATCAGTGATCTAAACTCTTATATTTAGTTTTGTTTTTTATATGTTATTATTCTACTTATAGACGAAAAGAGGATGAAAATTAAAAAGATAGTACATGTCTTTAAAATAGTTAATAGGATTAAAATGAAAAAAGATAGATAAAATATTTTTCATAATTCTATATTTGTGCCAAATTTAAAAGAAATTGGAGTGTATCATTTGAGTACTTTTACTTGTAAAATGATTTATATCATTTATATCATTTATGGTGATTAATATCATCATAATAACATTGTGACGATAATTTAAAAAAAATTTCTTTATTTAATAATTATTTAATAATGTGAATTTAGTATGTTTTAACTAAATTATAAATGATGATAAATTATAACTAGCGATAAATATAGCCTCGTGAAATATTTAAAAATTCTAATCGTTTATTTTTTTTCACAACACATATTCATACTTATTTATCAAATACATAATGTTATTTACTTTATAGGTGTCTTTTAAGGAAGAATTAATAAATGAACTAAAATTTATCGTGAAATGCAGTGGCTCTAAACAGGTACGAAAAAAAAGTGAATCATCCAGCAAAAACGAAAATGACAGTACAAGAGGATGTACTCCTCCATACGGTTTTGTGCCAACAGTAATAAGAACGTCACCAATTGACAACAAATAATGACGGAGTAATCCCGAATAATAAAAAGGCTATTTATTCACACAGCTTCAATACTTTGTAGTTCTTAATGATTCAGGAGCTAACAAATTGAATCGTTAAACTAACATGAAAACATTTTAGAACATTTGTGTGCTAAATAAAGGAATTATAAAAAATATATACAATAATATATGATACTTTTCAACAAATTTACTTTAAAAAAATTGCTCTTCAATTACAAATAAAAATAATATAAGTATTAGAAGAAATAATAGCAACAAATCTTTGCATGAAAAATAATGGATATGATAAAATAAAATAATGAATTAACATTATTAGAAAAATTAATCTTCTTGTATAATTTTAATTTTCCTCATACTCATTCCATTTAAGTGAACAGAATAAAATAAATTAAATTCAGGATCTTTTACAGCTTTTAATACTGATTAATTTAATACTGAAAAACAATAATTAATTATTACTGTTATTCAGTGTTTTAGTACTCCAGAAAAATAATTCATTAATATTTTCCAATAATATATTGGAAATCAGTATTAGATTTCTGTAAGAAATTAGTCTAATTTAGAAAGAGGTCCACAATAAGTGCAACAATGAAGTGTTACGATAATCATGCGCAAAACAATATACGAGAAGATATAGTCTATTAGATATATAGTCTATTATTTACTTTGTAGGCTTTTGCATATGATTGAAATAGTAACTATGATAGTAACTGATAGCGTCGGATGGCTCGTGATATATATAAATTTGGTAATAGACGATTTTCTTCACTCCGAATATTTCTTTTCAGTATTGCCAATAATTTGCAAAAAGTACAATTAATTATGCAAATGTTCTCATAATCGTTCAATTTCGTTAATTTAAATTCAAATGAACAAATAATTGAAGTGATTTTTACATAGATGGAGAAGGATATTTACATATCGCGTGAAACTGTTGCGTAAATCTCTGAAACTATTATAATCAGTAATATTGCTCCATAATTTGAAAATAGTTTGTTTCCTCGTATTGAAGGAAAAATTTAACACACTTTCTAATGCAAATATGCCGCTTGAATTTTACTTTAGCAACGAGTCGCACGAATGATAAATAGATTTATATCACATCGAACTTATTTAAAGTTTTTATTGTAATGAAAAAATTAGAAATATCTATTAAATAAGGATGCAATTAATACATTTATAAATATATTGCACCCTTATTTAATTAAACTATGAATAATACTATGCAATATAATAAAATAGCATTATTATCATTAGAAAAGAACTAAATAAAAAAGAAAGTATTCACAAAATAAATTTTATGAAGATGGATTTACATTTTCAGAATGCTACATAATTATTGAAACAACATTAATTTCCTTCTCATAGATATGTAATTAATTATACGTGAAAAAAATTTTATTTAGTAAAACAGATTAAAAACGAAACAAATCCATTAATAGATGCAAATTATTTTTTTAAATAGCACAGAAGTCTATTAAGTTTGCTAGACTACAGTTAAGATGTACTTCAATCGCATAGATATTCAGTAAATTTGAAATTATTGATTAAAATGTATTTTTTGAACAACTTAAGACGTCTCTCAAAAATTTTATTTAGAATAAATAAAATATACTGCACAAAGTATTCAAATTTATTAAGAATTATGAAGAATTATAAAATTAATACCCAAAAAACGAATTCGTATTATTGACAGTTCTCAAAGACTATCAGTGAATCATCCAACAGTTATTTTTAGCAGATAGATTGAGAAAAGCTGTTGCAGAGTATGTTAGTACAATGAGACCAGAAGTGTCTAAATATATCGCACTAGTTACATGTATTGGGTTGTTCGTGCCGACTAACCTATATAATTTAATAAATGTATACTAAAATTTAAATTTTCTGCGTTTCAATTTTCCTTCTACATCGGCACGAACTTTCCGGACAATCCAATATATGTATATTGTATTAGTGTGCTTGCATGTTTAGATCTTTAAATCATCTAAGATGGCGGAGAAATGGTACTAATGCAATGACAATAACAACAAAAACATTTAATTTCAATTTATTTAAATAAAAAATTTCTACAATTAAATATTTACTTTTAAAGAGATGGACAGTTCCTTACTATGTACTCTATACTATTTACTTTGCGCTGCTATTAGAATGCTTCTTTTAGAATGGCCGAGAAATGCTACTTCTATACATCACTGTTGTATGTATACCCATTACTTTGGGATTTCCAAGGAAAATATCAATCGGTAAGCTCGCTATGTTTTTTGTGAACAATAACATATGCGGGCAAAAGCAGAATTAATTAACTCAGCGTATCGATGAAATTGAATAATCGCAGATCATTGATGGTTTGTTCGACAATGATGAAATGATTCAAAAAGCATTTGAAATATCAATTAAAACGGTAAATAAGAACATAATCAATCGCGTGAGAAACGTATTGTTAACACTCAGAACAAAAAAAAATCAACAAGAATGTATTTCAAGTAGCAAATATATTAGGTACATACATATTAGGTACACAATTTTTCTTTTGCACTTGAATTAATGCAGAACTTCATATTTTCTATCAGAGTTGGGAAAGTTACTTTAGAAAAATAATTCGTTATTATTACGTTCTTTTTTTCTGAAAAGTAATTCGTTACTATTATTGATTTAAGAAAGTAACTTGTTACTGTTAATGTTACTCAAAAACTAATGTTATAATTTCCGTTACATTTTATCAAATTTTAATAAATTTTTTTTAGAGTGGCGTCCAATTATCCATATCGTTTTGACTCAATGCGAGATCGTTCAACACAAGATGTATAGTGGTTATGATTAATCGCACATGATCAAACATAATACTCCCATTTTTAAAATTCTTTATCAAAAAAAAAACTTATATACGTTCCATACATACGTTCATGTACAAACGATAAAAATAATAATTATATTCATTATTGTTATCAAAAAAATGTAACTACGTTAACATAACAAATAAAGAAATGGAACATTTCGTTATATATTCATTCTGGAAAAAAATTGTAATAA